CCCTTGAATCAGGTTTGGCGCGGAAATTTCTGGAGCCTCATTTCAACTACCAAGCTTACAACTACGCCTGAGATGAACCACAACAAGCAAACACGACATAAAGAGAAGTAGTTAGCGTCATATCACTACGCAGGATAGTTCTTCTGCACTTCTGCCCAACCTTAACCGTCTATCCACTCCACAGAGAGCGAGCTGTGACTGGCTCAAGCACAAGTTCTTGATTGAGTTGACCAACCACGCAACTCGAAATTTGTCAGGATGGATGCAATCAAGTTAGAAACGAAGGGGAGAGGAGAGTGGAGGAGAGTTGAAGGGTGGGGGCAAGGGGGGGCTCGAAAGATTTTGTTTCAGGGGTGCCTAAAATCTACCCTTACATACCAGGCCTGAGCCCGAAACCAGCCCTGTAAAGAGTCAGGGCCAGAATATTTCCAACCCATCAATTTCAGCTTTCAAGGGCAACCCAGCCCTTGAATTCAGGGTCCAGCAGGGCAAACGCCCTGCAAGCGACAGCCCTGGTGGTGAGGCTCGGGTACCACCTCTTTCACGGTTGTTCTGCCTTTTCGCATGAAGTTTTCACGCCCTCTCTACGCCTTATTGTAATGGGGACATGATGGTAAGGCTGGTTTGAGAGGGATTGCTTGGGGTGGAATGGAGTGGATTGGAGTTGACGTAGGATGAAGATTTTGAAGCGATCAGATCAAACTGACCGAGCTAGGTCTCACATGCATCGGATTCGTCATTCTCGAACGTCCACCTGACAGCTGCCGACTTTTATTGTGCCCAGGGCATCAGTCTAGTCAGCTCGCACAATCCCATTCTGATAGATGCCTCACTTCACGTTAGATTTGGTTGGCCTGAAACCCCGATCGGCTGCGCGCATTGGCTGTAACATATTCAGAGCAACAACGTGGCCCAACTTCTGCCACAATGGATCGGTTGGAGGCGCACGTGACAATTCATCCAGACGTGGACTGCACGTATCTTTGAGATCACCACCGCCGCCGACGTCTCGGGCGACAGGGTTTATATTCGATTCGATATATCTGTAGGAGGCTGTCAGTGAGGAAGGTGTTTAAATTCGATATTTGTTACGGGTGCAATTGAAAGAGCTAGTGAAGATTGCACTAATGAGTCAAATGAGTACAAATGTGAGCGAACATGTCAGCTAACATTTATAGCGAAAACAGCAAACGGTAGCCAGGTGCGTGCTAGCTAGCTAGTGTGATGCTGGCGGCGAGGTTCGGGCTAGTCCCGAAGCGTAGGTCCAACAGTGCAAGGTTTGGCAAAAGTGACGCGCGAATGTGGCGAACACCGTTAGCAGTAACGGGCGAAGAAACGGTTGGTCTTGTACGCGTTGCTGATGTGCGCAGTAACGAATGTTGGGAAAATCCTTACGCTACCCCCCTCCCCAAGAAGCCCCTATACGAGTGCGTGTATATCGCAAAATCACCGGCTTCGCATGTACACTTGGAGGACAGGGTGATTTTCGATGCTGCCCAGGGGCACCCAGCTATCTTCGGTTGAGGTGCGATCTTTCCATCGGACGAGGAATTCAATCCTTCGAGATCCATAGGGGTGACGAATCCGATGGCTCGAAATTTTCTCCGGGTCAATGATGGGCTCCGATGCAGGATGCGCCATCACGGGTGGTCTGTGTCGTGGCAGTTGGCTTATGGTCAGGATGTACGGGCGAAGGAGACTGACGTGGAATGATGGAATGATGTACCAGTCGGTGGGTAACATGAGATGGGCGTTGCGGCGTAAGCGGGCAGGCGTAGGTTCTGGGTGTCGAGCAGAATGTAGACTCCTGACTGGTACTCGACGGGGCGGCGGTGGCGATCGGCGATTCTCTTAGCGATGACATTTGCCCTTTTTGATGCATATACGATCAGCGAACTATTGCGCTCGTGGTGTCGGGTTGTCCGGACTCGGCGTCATGGGCACTATAGGGTTCTACCCATTATTCACGAAGAACAGCGACTGATGGGTGGTTGCTGACGTGGCGTTGTTGTATGAAACTCGGTCAACAACAACTGCTCCTCCCAGGTTGCGTGGCCGTCATACGTGGCGTGAATCAGCTGCTACATGGTCTGGTTCGTTCTGTCGGTCCGTCAGTTGGTCTCGGGGTGGTTGGTCAAACTAAACTGTAGCCGGGCTCCGAACTGCTCCCAAAGATTCTTCCGGAAGTTGCTTGTGAACTTCGTGTCCCTGTCTTTGATGGTGGCTACTGGCATGCCGAACAGGCGAGCGGTTTCATCGGCCGAGATCGATTTCTTGCACGCAACGAAATTAGCCATTTTCGCCAGCCTCTCGACAACGACCATGACCGCGTCGTTACCATCGGGCCTCGCTGGTAACCCCGTGATAAAATTCATGGTCACCTGCTGCCAGGCTCGTTCGGGTGGCGGAATTGGTTGTAATTGGCCCGTCTTCTTCTTCTGCGACCTTTTCATCACCTGGCACGTGGGGCACGATCACACGTGGTGCTGCACGTCGGTCAGCAGCTCGGGCCAGTAGTAGTACCGTTGTAGTTGCTGTCGCGTATTTTATACCTCGAAGGGACCCGAAGTAGCCCCGTCGTGGGCCTCTTGCAGTATTAATTCCCGTAGCAGCGAATGCCGGTACCCACATGCGCTTGGTCCCAGGTTTGACGTAATATAATTCTTTAGCCTCTGTCAGATGCTGTGAATTTTCTGTGGTGAAAAACGGGTCGATGTGGTAGCCGTGGGTGAACAGCCCGGATAGTAGCGGGTTTGACTGGGCGAGTAGTATGGCGTATAGTTGGGCAGTGGGGCGAGTGAGGGCGCTGGCGATGTTTGATGTGCCATTTTGTATGTTACGGTATAGTGGAAGTTGGACTCCAGATAGTCCAACCAGCGGATCTCTCGTGGGTTGAGATTCGGCTAGGCGTGAAGGTACTATAGTGAGCGGTGGTGTGTCCGTACTGTCACGTGCACGATGTCGATCATCTTGCGTCATGTATCGGGTAGTTGCTTTTGGCCCGTGAAGTTTACGGGAATTGTACGCGATTGGCTGGAGGACATTCCCGAAGTCCTGCAACAGTACGGCTCCGATGGTGATGTCGCTAGCATTGGTGACACGCTCGAACGGACGGTGAGGATCGGCGATGGGCAGTATGGGAGGCGAGCACAAAATTTGTTTAAAGGCATAGAAGGTAGCATGCTCTTCCCCCCCCCCTACGTGTATTCAACCCCCTTTCTCAGCAGGTTGGTCAGCGGGGCAGTCAGCTTCGCCATGTCGGGGAAGAACCGGTGCACGTAGTTGACGAACCCCATAAAAACTCTTCAGCTCGATCAGGTTGGTCTAAATCATCGCAATTTTTTTTGGGTCTAATTCCACTCCGTTGGCCAAAATATTATGGCCCAAAAACTCGAGTCGATCCTGTAAAAACTAACACTTATAAGCTTTCTTGAGCAGGAGTCTAAAAAACGGCTTCGATGTCCCGTAAGTGATGTGTTTGGTCAGGTTTGTAAATCATTATATCGTCTAAGTAGACAATGCCGCACTTATTCAAAAGCGGGCGACGGGTGGAAGGCTTTGTTCATGGTCATTTGAGAAGTTGTGGGGGCGTTGGTCAGTCTGAAGGCATAACGGTATATTCGAAGGATCCGTAGCGGGTGCGGACGACGTTTTTCGGATAGACAGGTGGGTTGATGCGAATTTGATGGTAACCCCCTCTGAGGTCAATATTTGATGTTCGACGTTGGTCGATTAGTTTGTCGGCTTGCGGGATCGGGTAGCGTGACTTGAGGGTATCCCTGTTCAGTGTGTGGTAGTTGATACATATGCAAAATCCCCTGTCCCTTTTCGGCGGGAATAAGATCGGTGCGGCGAAGGGTGACGAGCTCGGGCGAATGAAAAAATTATTGAGCAATAATATAGCTGCTTCCGAAGTTCGTCCAACTCGGGCTGGGTCAATCTGAAGTGTCGTTGCAATGTCGGTTGTGCCCCCGGTTCCAGCTATATGCTGTGGTCGTGCGGTCGCTAAGGTGGCAACCCTTCCGGCAGTCATCGGGAAAAATCTCCCGGTGCTGCTTCAGAAGTGCTGCCAAGCCATCTGGTACGTCAGCGTGCTGTTTCTATAAATCGCTCGGTTGCTCTGCTGCCTTGACGTCCTGGACGTCAACATCATGCACGCCAGCTCCTACTTCTCCAACGCATTTCATTGTGATGGCATTTACTCGAACCGACGAAGACTTGGGCGAGCTCCAGCGAGTGAAGGCGATGTTGTTACCATTGACTCGCACACTGCAGTCACCTGTCGTCCAGTCTATCTTTAGGTTATGTCGTCACGGCCAGTCACAGCCGAGTAAAATGCCGATTCCATCGATGGTTGTGGCCAGCATTTCCTTGGTGGATTTGAAGTTACCCTCGCATCAGATCCGAACTCGGTCCACACGTTCCCGTATCGCATGTGGCTTGCCATCGACCAGTCTCACGTCAATCTCAGGTAAACATCGGTCTAGTGGCATCGTATGAAATAAATGACAGTAAGAAAATAATCGTATGAAAAATGAGACCACGAGAGAATTTAAGATGACGCTCATACCATATCAGAGTCCCTGATTGATACGTTAGGCTCTACCTTGAACTCTGAAATGATGTAATATATTTAGGAATCAAGAGAATTTGATACATCGCTATTTCTCTACATTACTAGATACCGTCATCGCTCGAATATAAGATAGTGTTGAATAGAAAACAAGGGTTGTCTTTAATACGGGTGTTTTCATATAAACAGAACTTCTTATTATAAGAGACCCTATGGACGATATGAGATAAGACACCCTATCTGGCACATGGTGTCTTATAAACAGCATCACAAAGTCCTTCTCACATGATCATACTGTACCGTACCGTATTAAAGTAATTGCAGTTCAAATCCTTTAAGAATCCACTTATTCTAGCTTCTACTTTGGTGACCCCCTCAGCCTCAGTAGCAGGGTCCTCAGATGGTGCACAATCCTCCTCATCAAGCCTCAGGTCCTGCACACAGAGCATGGATCCACAAGCTTGTCTGCCAATGCTTCTGCCCCACGGTATCGCACCGTATTGGGGAAGGGGTCTTCCTCCACAGGAGCTGCACTTCCAACCAACTCCTCCACACCCTCCTCATCCTCCTCCTCCTCCCCCTCCCTCCCTTCTCCTTCAGGGGCTCTGCCCACAAAGTAGGTGTTGTCTCCGCTTGTTCCTGCCAGCGTCATGTCCTCAGACACATCTGACGTGCTCCTTGCACGCAGATGGGCGATGACGAGGTGATTCTCCTTGCCGTCGAGGGCTCTGGATATTCCACATGTTTTGAAGGTCTTCAGGGAAAACCTAGCTGTGCCTGATGGAGTGTGTGCGGTAGGCGGCCAGCATTCCAGGGGTTTTGTGGCCGCGGTAGGAGTCGACCACCAGCATGGCTCGTTTAGCCGCCGCACCTTTGATAGAGTTGAGGTAAAGGAGGATCTCCCCTCTGAGCCACTGACACACCGCATCCTCATCCATCCACCCATTCTCTTGGGCTTGCACCACCACACCTGCCAGCACAAGGGTTCAGGACAGGAGATGCACACGGGATCATGAGACTTGATGGTAGTAAACCCTGGACAGCACATGCACAACATATTCGTACAGATTCGTACAGATTCATGCACAGCACTGACCTTTCGTTTTTTCGCACTTGGGTGGGTTCTTCATCTTGAACCAAACCCACGGTCGCAACATTTTCCCGCTGGCCATGCATGCAAGCATCACACTCAAGCACTGCTTCTCATATTCGGCTGTCCGCATAGGGACTGACCGCGCCCACCTGTGCTCCAGAGTGCGCTTGGCGGGCATCTATACAAACAGTGGAGTCTGATCCGCGTTGATTATGCTGTTCTGGTCGATGCCATACCGCGCGCGATTGATGCGCACGAACTTCCAAAACCCTTCACAGCCCTTCACACACTCCACATACATGATGGGGAAAGAGAGAGGAAGCTTGAGGGTACAAGCATGAGCTTCAACTGCTGGAATTCACGACATGGAAAGGTACAAGCATGAGCCACTTCGAGGAGGGTACAAGCTGTTGGTGTAACCTCATGGTTTGCACTCGACTTGTTGTCCTTGTCCGTGCATGCGTGTATGCTTGAAATGGTATGAGGGCATGAGATAATAGTGTGTGAATGTTGAGTCATGATGTCGAATGTGTGTGTCAAGTAAATAGAGAGTTATCGCTAGTCGCGTGTCACATCGTCGTTTCCGTGTCGTGTGCGTTTTCTATTTTGTCGTGTGTCGAACGTTCGGCGTGTCGCAAGGGTGTGCAGCAAGCTTCCAAGAACTCAAGGAAGAATTTATCTTGAAGAACCAAAGCCTTGGTTTCAAGATTCAAGTGATTTCGAAGCTCGCCTAAAGGGTAAACTTCAAGATACAGAGAATAGTTATATTACAATGTGTAGTGTAACATTTCTCTTGGTGTAGGCCCTTGTGGAGGGTAGTTTTGAGACCCTTTGTGGCACTGCTCCTGGGGTTTGTAGAGGCTGAGAGTCATTCCCAACTCGTAACTTCTTCCTAGTTGCTACAAGACCGCCGTTCATCCAAACTATTATTACGTCGTCCAATTTAAATCAAATCGATTGATTCATATTTTTTAATGTAGATGACGTAGCGGTTTCCAGATCCAATTTATAGCATGTCATTTGGAGCTGTGACTAGAACACTATCAACGTTTGAAGCCACTCTGTCGAAATCCGCCTGTGCACTCTATCTTTCGTTTTAGGCATATTTGAGACTATTGCGACTATAACACAAGCATGAGATTCATGAAAGTAATTACCGTTGCTTTGCTTCTGGCCGACCTTTGTGCAAATGCGCATGACGATATTCCAGCGGTCGTGGAACCGCTGGCTCTAATGAGAAGAGGCGGTCCACTCCTTCCCCGGGTAGTGCTTCTTCATCCTAGCCCAGCTCCACACTTGCGTGTCCTTCATGGAGATAGGCACGCCCTTCGCCCGATGCACACAAATGTGGCGGTAGAGCGCCTCCTCCATGTCGGAGTAGTGTAGGTGACGCCCTGCACCATGCAATCGTTCCCTGCTCCTCGCTGCGTCGTTGTAGACTCCAGCATCCCTCTGCCCAACCCACCGCCAAATGGTTGCTACTAAATCACCAGACTCTGTGGCAGTCTTCTTCAATGATTGAGCTCACCGTACCGCTTTGCCCATTTGAGCTTCTCCTTCACGCTCCAGCTCCTCCGGTTGCGCTTCACGCCGCGGCTGCGAGGGGACAGCGGTCTTGCATCCAGGTTCTTCTTCGTAAGTGTCAGAATGTTATGTGTTGTGTAGTGGGGTACTCAACAGAGAGTACAACCCTTTTAGGATTTCCTATATGTACTCCACCTGCCTGCTAGTACAACCCCTCTTCATCTGTTCACATTCTCGTTCGTACTTCTGACATGGTATTCAGAGCAGGCTCTTTCCTTGAGCCTTCCTCAATGGGCCCACCGTTCGATTCCACTGCTGTTCTTTCAGTCGTAAGCCCCGGGCGCGTGACTATTTTCCTGCCTGTCGCGCGCCCTGGGCGCGCGACGTTTTCTGCCCGCCACGCGCCCCGGGCGTGCGGCGGTTTTCTGCCCACTGCGCGCCCCGGGCGCGCGGCGGTTTTCTGCCCGTCGCGCGCCCCGGGCGCGCGACGGTTTGCTTGCACCCGTGGCACCCGCGCGCCGCTCCGTGGCACCCGTGCGCCGCCCCGTGCACCCGCGCGCCGCCCCGCTGCACCCGCGCGCCGCTCCGGTACACCCGCGCGCCGCCCCGTGCACCAGCGCACCGCCCCGTGCACCCACGCGCCACCCCGTGCACCCGCGCGCCGCCCCTCTGTAGCCACGGGGCAGCTTCTTCCCCGCCCCCCCTGCCCCACCTTCTCCTTCCTCTCCCTGCTGCGCGTGCAACCGTGGGGGGGAGGGTATGGGGGTGGCGGGTGTGAGTAATCTGCTGTTCCTCCTCCTCCTCTCTCTCCCACTGCTGCAGCTGCCGCTGAGGGGGGGAGGGTGTGGGGGAGCCGAGGGAGTGGCGCTAGGGATGCAGAAGGAGGTGTGGAAAGGGGGTGTGGGACAATGGGGGGAGGTTGAAAGGAGGTAGCCACCATGAAGCCAGCAGCTCCAGTAGTCCGGATGCCCTTGCTCCGGGAGCCCGTGAGCCCGTTGCTCCAGTCGCCCGTGGGTCAGTTGCTCCAGCCGCTCGTCTAGCCGCGGAGCCAGTTACTCCAGTAGTCCGGATGCCCTTGCTCCGGTAGCCTGTGTGCCAGTTGCTCCAGTCGCCCGTGTGCCAGCAGCTTCAGCTGCCGCCTCCTACCTCCTCTCCTCTCATAGTCCCTCCTCCTCCTCCTCCTCCTCCTCCTCCTCCTCTCTTGCCCTCTAGTTCTGCCACTAGCCTTTGCTTATGACCTAGTCATGCGATTGCTTGTTGTGTTGACTATACCCCACTTTGCCTATGGGGGTGTGTCAGAATGTTATGTGTTGTGTAGGGTGTAGTGGGGTACTCAACAGAGAGTACAACCCTTTTAGGGTTTCCTATATGTACTCCACCTGCCTGCTAGTACAACCCCTCTTCTTCTGTTCACATTCTCGTTCGTACTTCTAACAGTAAGGTCCTTCGGTTTTTTCTTCTTAGCGTATTTTGGAATCGGACCAGCAGCTACAGCGTAGTCATCATCTGAACACTCGGCTGGTTCAGATGGTGCAGCAACTGGTGCCTTCTTCTTTAATGCCTTCTTCTTCGTTGGCGCAGGCGCAGTCTTCACTCTCCTTGAGGGACCTTCATCAACCTTCTGCTTGCCCTTCTCCGCCACCGTGAAACGACGTGTCTCTTTGCGTGCGGCAACGTCAACTTGGTGCTTCACATGCCGACGATAAAGCGGGACGTCATCTTCATCCAACCTCCACGGGTCGTCATCGTCACCCTCGTCGGCAGCGGCATCACCATCCTCTCCCGCGTCTTCATCAGCTGCAACAGCAGTTGGTTCAACGGTCGTAGCTGTCGTCATGTCCGCGTCACCACCTCCAGCACGGCCATCTCCAGCTTCTGCATCACCTTCTTCACCATCTCCTGCACGCCACTCTTCCACCACTTCATCCGCGTAGTCTCTCAGCCACCACTCGTCCTCCTCGATTTGCGGTTCAGGTGTAGCTCGCATATCACTCGCGCCATAGTGGCCGTTTTCAGGCCAATCTTCTTCGTCGGAACCTTTGTTCGCCTCAGGGAATGACTCGACGTAGCTCTTGACGTGGGCTCCTTCCTTTGACGCTGCACTATTTTTCGTCGCGGACGGCGAAGAACAGTAGATCGGGATGTTGTCGCTTGGCGGGTTAATGCATCCGCTTTTAGCGACATAAACCGGGCTAGGTGTGTATAATCCGACGGCTGGCATCTTACATCGCCAGTCATGCGTAAGGCGTAGAGAGAGGAGAGGGACGGGGAGTCTACCGAGCATTTGGGAGAGGTGATTTTTCGATCAACAAACAAGAATGAGGGAGCCAAAGGGTAGAACCCCCTCTGTGGTCTCATCTTTCCTCTGCGAGGAGATTCCTCTAAGAGGAAGGGACATTCACTGCCACCATGCTCAGGCGGCCACCTTTCTAGAAGTTGCCTACTTGCTGCCACGCTGCAAAGTCGCTGCTATGCTGGGGCAACTTTGCCACCCTGGTAATAATGACTGTTGTCTTTTGTGAAGTGTCTGTGGAGGTCAAAACTTTCGCCCTAGTAATGTCATTTGCTTGATTGGAACACCTCACAACCCGATTATGCATGATTTCATATGAAATAAACATTCCTCTTTATCAAATATATAAGACACCCTAAGAGTTCCGTTTACAAGATAAACATCACATTTTCAAGGCGATATTGGATAAGACCCATAGGTCTTATATCCGGGCGATGACGGTACATTACAGGTTGATCCAAAAAATTGGTTGCCATATTACTATGTAAGGGGTGGCACATGGTTAATCAAACCCGGAGCACCGCTGGGACATCGCCACCATGACAGTGAAGGAGGCGTTGGAGAGCTGGAAAGGCAAGGCGGTGAAGGCCGCATGGATGAGGAGATTCGGAGCCTCATCGCCAAGGGCACGTAGGAGCTTGTCCAGCGGCCACGCGGTGTCGGCGTGATGAAGAACCGGTGGGTGTGATGACTAAGTACCACGTCGACGACACGATCGCCCGCGAGAAGGCTCCCTTGGTCGTGTAGGGCGGCACGCAGGTGTACAACGTCGACTACGACGAGAGGTACGCGCCGGTCGGGAGCTACCTCACGCTGAGGATCTTCCTCAGCATCGTGACCGTCCCCGACTTGCACTTGATGCAGCTCGACATGAAGAACGCCTTCCTGCAGAGCAAGCTCGACAGGGTGCTCTACATGTATCAGCCCGACTACTACGATGATGGGACCGGCCGCGTGTGCAAGATGCTGAAGAGCTTGTACGAACTGAAGCAGTCGCTGCTGTTGTGGTACTTGGCGCTCAACGTGGTGCTGACCGGCGCCGGCTGGAGCAAGAGCCAGGTCGACGAGGCCCTCTACTTCAAGGTCGGCGACGACAGCATGGCGTACTGGGTGCTCGACTATGTCGACGACTTGCTTTCCTCCAGCAGCAGCACCGCGATGCTGAAGGAGCGGAAGGAGCTGCTGGATTCCGCCTTTGAGCTGCGCGAGATCTCGCCGGTCGAGAAGTACCTCGGGCTGGAGATCGTGCGCGACCGACTGGTGAGGAAGCTGTGGCTCCACCAGCAGGCTTACGTCGACAAGCTGCGTGGGCGTTTCATCGAGGAGGAGCAGGGCGGTCGAATCCGAAGACGTCGGTCTCTGTCGACGCCTATGCCGAGCTGACATTTGACGACAAAGAGGCTCAGTCGCGCGATGAGGAGGAATACCGGCAGAAGGTCGGCTTGCTGCAGTTTGCGGCGACCACGACGAGGCCGTACATTGCCTTTGTGTGCAGCAAGCCAGGGAGCGGCCTGACCATGAGGGACGACCAGCACTGGCGTGAGGTCGAGCGTCACTTGCATGAGGTCGACCGCTGCCTCGCCTACCTCGCCGACACCCGTGACGCCGCCATGGAGTCCGGCGGTGGACCAGAGTCGCTGTGCTTGGTCGGCTACGCGGAATCCGACGACGCCGGAGACAAGCAGAACCGCTGCAGCACGAGCGGCTACGTTTTTGTCTTCGGCAGTGCCGCCGTCTCCTGGACAAGCCAGCGCCTCAAGTGCGTGACGCTCTCGTCGACCAAGTCAGAGTACATCGCGACCACCTAGGGCTTGGGGCTGAAGGGCAACCTCAAATACATGGATCGACGCTACATCTGGCTGCAGCTGTTGGTGAAGTGCGGGAAGGTCGCATTGCGCTACATCCTGACCGCCGAGCAGCCAGCCGACTTCCTGACGAAGGTCCTTCACTTTCTGGCCTTCAAACAGTGCTATGTCGCCATCGGCCAAGTGCGTCTGGCCGACATTGGCGACGGCGACGACGACGTGCAGCAGTAGGTGCCATGCCCTTCTACACGGCTGGTGCAGTGACTGGCGTGATGTCTGTTGTATGCACGCCGACGACTTTTCCTATGTATCCTATCCCTCTGGGTCTGGAAAGACCTCGTGTGTGGGTGCCCAAGCGTGAGCTGGGCAGGGGAGTGTTGACGGGAGTTGGCCCCGCCCTCGCTGGCAAGCCGCCTTGTTGCAGCGCTGGCAAGCCGCCATGGTGCAGCGCTGACTGGTCGCCGACTTGCAGTGCTGGCAAGCCGCCATCGAGCTGCGCTGGCAGGCCGCCAGCTTGCTGCGCTGGCAGTCGACCTGCCTGTCTGCTAGGTTGTTTTGCATCTGATGTAGTCATTGTTTCCATTGTCATTCCTATCGTTTTACCCAGCTTTTGTTAGTAAAACTCTTGCCAAATTTCCCTGTGAATGCGCAAGTAGAGAGAACACGAGCAAACGCTACGATCACTCGTACCACCCGTGCTCCCCTATAGTCAAGCTCCCACCGGTGTAGAGTGACTCTCCGCAACCCTCTCATGACCAAAGGCATCATTAGCATATCACCGTAATCCTTCCAAACCATCTGCACTGAACACACCAAGCAGCGCATCCTATTGCCCAAGGTGATTCTTATTGACGCTTGCCCATGGCTGTCATAGCCAGCCCATGCTAATTTTCTTTCACTATGTACATATCATGCTTGCCCAATATTGTGCTCTTATCATACTCGCTCATTTGCACTTGACATATATGAGTTGTTTGACTGTCTAACTCACATATTTGAACTGTGGTGTTCTCACCTCCCTTGTGTTGTGAAAAATGCTTGATTAGGATGTACGTACAGTACTATCGACATAACTTGTATTCAACAACATAGGGCAGACAAAGCATTTCATAACACAATCACTCCACCCACAGCATGTTCAGCCAATCCACTACAGCTAGGCAAGAAACTCGCTCAACGTATCATCCCCACTGTGATCAACTATAGGATCATGCAACTCGGCAAGTCCATCCAAAGTTTCACACTCTCCCCAAAACATTTCGACGCAATTATCGATTCTTGGAGAGATCAAAACGGAAACGTCTTCATAAAAGACGTCCAAAGGCAGGATAGGAAAAGCTATGTCGGCAGCAACGACGTCCAACTCAGAACAAAACTGAAGCTGCTCCTCATTCTTACCAGCAGCTTCAATGAAAACAGGGCTGGAACTGAAGGGTGCGGGGGCTGATTCGGTGCGCCTAGCTCTTTTAGCACATGTTGTGCTGTCGAGCAAACCACTATCACTCCACTCACTGAATTCTTTCTCTCGGATTGATGGTGTAACGCTGCTGTGGTCAAGGGGAATGCTCCTCTCAATGAGCTGAATGGAAGGAGCTTCACCAATCGGTGCGCCTTCCAAGCTGGATCCACATTTAGAAGAACAACAACCAGCGGCGTCGGGAACTGTTTGGGAAACATCTTCAGCATCCTCATTGTTTGCCGGGGTTGGGCACTGCTGGAAACTTTTTTTAGAAACCGTAGAGGAACCGGCTGCGTGCTCTGGAGTGACGGTAGCACTGCTGGCGGAGATGGCTGCTGTAGCGGCAGGAGGAGTGAGCACTGCGGGAGCATCATCATCATGGTGTTGCACTGAATGCGGGTCAGAAACTGAATGGAGGTTGGCGTTGACAGCGCATGAAGCAGAACAGCGGCTTTCTGTGGCCGGAGATTCAGGTGGAGCAGCAGCAGGGGAAGCATTGTCATAATGATGGCACTCCCGGGGTGGATGTATCCTGGTCTGTTTCTCAGGTGCCTCCACAGCAGGCTGCTGACTGGATGCACCCTGAGGGTGCATACTGACTGGACGGCTCGGCTCCTCGCAGATGCGTTTCTCGAGAGGAGGCGGGTGGTTGTGGTGGGGGCTGCTGTAGTTGATGTGAATTGTCGACAACATATAGTCTCTTCGCCGGTCATAATCCACAGTCTTCTTAGCTCTGCAGGAGGACTGGCTTTTGGAGCACGAGCACCTGTAGTAGCACCTGCCACACGAGGGTCATGGGGAAGGCGGGTGCCATCATAATGTTAGGTGTCAAGATCGTTACTACCTCACGAGACATTTGCCTCTGTGATCTTGTTACCACTGCAGCCATTGATTCGAATGTTGGTGTTTTTAACCAAATTAAACGTTCAAGCTACATAATCATCATACTCCCAGGTTGCAAGCACTAACTTACCGAGTGATGTAGGTGTCGTGAACATGCTTTTTGACCGTATTTCAGCCAAATGTAGCCGTCAGCACGAACGATAGACTGCATCATGCCGGCATCGATAGCAGATTCCTCCACCTGGGGCGACATTGTTTTGCAGGTGACCTGTCCCTGGTACTCCGAATACTAGTCGTCTAAAAGTGACCTCCTACTCGGAGGTTGTCAATTGCCAATTTGTGAACGTGTGTGAGATTGCCAACAGGTTGTCTTACACTTTGAGATGAGTACTGTTGAAGGTATGAAATCTTCACTTACTAGGAAAGTGACGGACCTGCTCGATTAAGTTATGAGTTAGAAGAATTGTAAAAGTCCAGTGCCAGTGGCAGAAATTGTAGAGAGACCAGCAGTTTCACTGGCATGGAGCCGCTAACAACGTGAGGGGAAGCTTAGGAACCCACGGGAGGCTACTACATTCTGCTGTCTG